CTACCCGAAACTCTTTCTTTTTCCTGAGAAACAAAGAAAGGTGAAAGAAGTCTTGATTGGAGAAAGTTGTGATATTTTATCGATTTTTCTGGGACAGACGTGTGCGGATGTTGTCATTAGCCGATATTGTCGCGTTTTGTAAATATTTTTGTAAAAAAGAAAAATCAGGCCTGGGCCAAAATGGTGCAAGCTTGTAATTTTGAAAACCTTTTAAAGTATTAGTAATCATCCCTCCTTGTTCCCTGTTATACAATCCGTCTGGCACAACCGACAACATTTCAAGCATAATCTACGATTGTTTAAATGAGACATAATTTAGTTAGCATATATATGAACACTATCTGACATGCACAGCAACTTGGTTACTTGATAAAAGTCACAGAATGTAACAGAATGAGCCTCAGGTTTTACTCAGAAATCAATGTCACGGGACGAAATAAAGAAGTCACCATCATTATTTTTCAATAATGTGTATGGAGAGTCAGTAAGGATGGCATCCCTATACAGAAACCACTCCTGCACATCATTTTGACAAAACAGGTGTTCACTTTGTCATTGGTTGTTTAAAATGTTGTCCATTCACGGATCATTTTTGCTTGGCGGAGAGTGCTCTTGTGTGTGACTTTTGATTCAGTAACCAAGTTGCTGTGCATGTCAGTTTCTTCTTTGTTATAAAAATAATCACTGGCTTTTGAGCATGTAATTAGTAAAAGGTATTGCAGCATACCTGTGTACAAAAATTGTTTTTTTCTATGGCGTAAATTTTTATGTGTGGCCTTTGTCAGAGGTGAAAAGTTTCTTTTGCTGTTCAGTGTATATTACGATAAATTCCACGCAACAGTTTGCTTTCGGAGAAAAATATTAACATGTAATTTTGGTCGTGGTTAGGGTTTACTGTCATATAAAATAAAATGGTGCAGTGCTTTGCAGGTCATTTATGAATTCGCAGTGTTACATTGTATCCATAATGTCGAGTTTGATACATTTATTTTTCTACCCCCTCCTTTTTATTTGTT